GATTGCATATCAATTAAGACATTAATGTGGCCGACTGTACCGGCTGTGTGTGCGAGAAACACGATTATACGAATCGCCAAGCGACAGTGCCATACAATACCGAGTCATTTCGACTGCTGTTTCTCACCGTTTTAATTTGATCCTCTTCAAAGACGCGAGGTTGGAAATGCGCGAGAGAGAGAGAGAGAGAGAGAGAGAGCGCGCGTCTCGCTCGCGAGCGCGTCGTGTCGTGACGGACGGAATGAGACGTTCAATCGGCGGAATGCGAATTGCTTCCTGTGTTCTTGTTTCATGATTTTTCTTTCCTCACCAAAAAAAAAACAAGAGAGAGAGAGAGAGAGAGAGAGAAAACACGACGACCCGAAAATAAAAATTCCATTTGAAATCTGTACACACGCAGTGATGCCATTATTACCAGTCGTCGCTCAAGTGTACAAGCACCGCATCGCCGCCGTTATCCGTTTTCGAACATCCGTCTTACATCTGTCCCATATCTCCGTTCGAGAACATGTCTGGGTATATAGTCACGTGAAAATTTGGATTCCTCGATCTCGCGTTGCTCGGAAATGCTCCCGGTGAGAATTGCCGCTTCCGTGAGAGAATGCGTCGCACTTTCAAGTTCAACGCGAGGGATTTCTCTCTCTTAACGGAATTACGTAGTTTCTCATTGCAACAATGGGGACAATCGAAACCATACGAAAATAATCGTCGCGTTCATCCGGATGGGGAGAAGACAGGGGGGACGTATCAGATCGCCGTATCGCGAGGGTCTCCGTAACACGCGGTATGTGTCGGCGTTATTCTTAATCTCTTCTGAGTACCCTTAACCCAATTGAATTTAGAAGAGCGCACACCTCGCGACACGCGTTACAGATACCAACCACCCACCGCGTTTCCAAGTCGTTCTTTCGCTTAGTGGGCGTGCAGCCGAACGAAGGGAACGCGATTGAGAAAGTTGCTCTTCCTTTGATATCAAGTCCGAAACGTCGCGCGTCTTCTTCGATCGCGAGAGACGTTCCGGCACGCTTCGATTCGAATTACGCTCGGCATTCGCGGCGCGTCGACGAAGTTGCAGAACGGAGAAACACGATCGGCATTTCCAGTGTCATCAATTTTCGCAGACCATTCTCACATTCTCGATCATACACTCCTCGCGGATTCCCAAGTCTTTTTCAGGCTCTACGTTATGCCTTTCCACTTGTAACATCAAAAGAGCACGAATAGAAAACCTTCGGAAGACTTAACCGTGGAACCATTAAATTCGACTTGAAGTAGGACTAAAATCTCGACTCGGGTTTCCACTATGGGAAACTAATTCATATCTGTTTGGTCGTTAATCTTCCGATCGGATTACGGAAGCGAGGATGAAAAATTGCGAGTTTATTTTCGGCGTTTCTCAACGAACAATTCCGCGGTACCGCGGAAAAAGAAAAGAGCAAAAAAAAATTACACCAAACGCGACAATTGTAGGAACACTCGAACTCACTGGTGTCCTTGTTATTTTGGGCCCGTCCTGTTAGTAGAAGTCGCAGTGCGACGAATCGCCGTCGACGCCGAAATCGTTAAGGTGCATAGTGGTGCACTTTGCCGGTCCACCAGAAAAAGAAATAGAGAGAAAGAGAGTGGAAGAGAAAGAGAGAGAAAGAGAGAGGGAGAGAGAGATACGTCGTTCTCGCGCTTTCTTCGCGAAAAGAACACCCCGGCAAGAGGATGCGTCGCACCGCTCGAATCGTCCATTGGCTGGAGGCTAATGCACGTCACGTGACGCCTCTTGTAAGGTATCATCGGGGGCTTTCAATATCGCAAGACGAGGCCGAAGTTCACGAAATGGAGCGGCAGGATGATAACGGCTCGATGCGGCCCGATAACGTGGGGGACCAAAGGATCGCGGAGGATGACGTGAGTATTATCGCACGAGCCGTCATTTTATCCCTATTTCCTTTATCCCTTGATAATTGACGGTCGGAGTCTTTCTCGCGTCAATCTCGTCGATTGTTGGCGCGATAACGCGGCATCCGCGTCGTTATCTTTCACGGAGAAGAAGGTCGACGTTACGTTGCGGATATTTCAAGAATGAATCCGAAAGTTGAGAGAATTTTTCCAAAAAGAAAAACGTGAAGGATAACGATACGAGGCGCTTCTCATAGTTGAGAACCACGTACGAAATGTCTCGCAGGATAGTTTCGATCTCGACGATCTTCTGCCGATCGTCGGCGAGTTCGGTCGTTACCAGAAGCAGCTGCTCTGGCTGATCTGTCTGCCGGCATGCCTGCCTTGCGGCTTTTGCGCCTTCAATCAGCTGTTCATGGCCGACACTCCGCCGCACTGGTGCAAAGTGCCGGGCCTGGAGAACTTGGACGCCGCTCGCAGAAAGCGGCTCGCCATCCCGGCGATTCAGGTGCGCGGCTGGTCGATCCGAGAGCTTTGTAGATGCGCGATCCGTACGATCGATATACACGCACCTGCGGACGCACACACCTGTCGATTACATACGTCGGTACATTACATCACATCCGCCGCTACCGCTTCTTCATTCGCGGCTTCGTCACGCCGTACCCCTTATTTAGCGCTAAATGTGGCTGGTTGTTTCTTGTCGGCGCTCTTCTTGAATTTAGCGTTACATCATATATCATTGCGATTCACTTCACTCATATATCTCAGTATCCAACGTAGGCTATGAGTGCTATCAGTTGTGAAAATTCAGAGTACGTGCGCTCGAAAAAGTCACTCCTTCGTTCTTCTTGACTTGATCCTTTAAACGCACGGTTTTTACAATTAGATTACACGATTAGAACAATTTGGTAAAAATACTAAAATGGTTTTTCAATATTGTGTTTATCATAGCACTGGTGTAATTATTTTTCACGCCCGAGTTAATACGGACGTGTGCCTCATGATGATATAAAATAAAGCGTTGCTCGCGAATTAACTCGGGCTTGCGCATTAAGGGGTTAAAAGCAACTCACGCAGTTCCGAGTACTGCAGCTTCCGAAGAGTGTATGTAGTTTTTCCTTCCCCGTGAATAAAGGAAAAAAGATGCGATCACAATTGTTGGAAATATTGTTGTTTTACTTTATGATTTATAAACTTTTACCAATGGAAAATATGAATTTTGATAGATAATAAATATATATTCATTCGTAAAATAATTTTAAAAACACTTCAATTTTATCTGAAATTTCTAACAAATTGCCTAGAAAATGAGGGAATTCTCTGGAAATCTTTTTCAGGTTTGATTAGATACTCTGTTTAAAATATCAAATAATGATTCATCATATTATAAATATATGATTTTCACGTTAACGCGAAAAAATAAAAATGACACGGATATAATTGTTAAACTCACGCGCGTTTTATACTTGTAAATTCCCAGGCATTCGCACTTGTCTCATTAGCATTTGAGAATATGCTAAATATCGCAAGTAATTCGAAATCGCTACTTCGCAGTCTGCAAACAGCTGGAAAGTTATGTCATATGTTGTGCAGTTTCGTGAAACAACTTGCACGGAATTCATTGTCTCGGGCCGACGCCAAAACGCCCGTTCGATTCGCGCGATCGATCCCACTTTTAGCAGCGCGTGAATGTATTATTCATGCGACGCGTCGGCTAAAAGATGCGATGTAAATGCAGGGTGACAACGAGACGTATAGCCAGTGCACGCGATACGATGTCGACTGGACGACGGAGAAGAACAACTCCGTCATGACGACATACTCGCTCGTGCCCAACGCGTCGTGGTCCATCGTGCCCTGCGACCATGGCTGGGAATACGAGACTTCTGAGGTCACGTCGTCCATCGTCATCGACGTACGTCACGTGGTCCCGATCGTAAAGTACACATTGCACAGTCATCAACCGTTTCAATTTGTAAATAGCCGATTAAATTGCTCATCATTGCAAGTAATCAATTGATCCGTGCGGATGTTTGGTGAGGAATCGAGTTTCATTGAGCCGTGACGTTGCGTTTCTCCTCGGTGTTTAGCAACTGTACGTTTCGCTCCTTCCTCCTTATCGAGTGATCTTTGCCTTAATTCGTTTCGCGATTTTAATGTAGCATTTATCCGATTGGAATACATAACGAGAGGTAATTTGTATTTTTTATCGAAGCTGCAATAAACGTTTGTATGTCATTAATGAATCAGATCGAAGAAAATAGCTCACAGTACAATCGCAAATGAATATTATTTCTACAAATATACGTGTGTGTACGTGATATGTACAAATATATTATTATTTAGAGAGAAATCTTAAAAAAAAATTATATGTGTATATAAGAGATTCTTTTTCGGGACAGTTGCATATTTCGAATGAATCTTAACTTCTTTTCTTTTCATGCATGTGTCCTATATAAGAGTTTATTGTGACGGAACATTTGTAGAAGAAACTAAATGTTTCGATTATCAGGCATACATTGAATTTAAGACTCGACCGATTTTGCAGTTTGATCTTGTGTGCGGTCGGGCGATTTATCCGACGATCGGTTTGGTGGCTCTGAACGCAGGAGGTCCTATAGGAGTGTATTTATTCGGTACACTAAATGACAGGTAATTTAGAAAATCGATGTGATTCATTAGATTTTCCAAAATCTAGTTTTCTTCATTTTAGTTTTTCATCCTCAATATGAAGCTTGTTTCATGTCAGTTTGCATTAGCCATTACCTAGAATATAATATTGGTTTTCTTTTTCTTCTTTTTTTTTTTTTAATTTAAAAGTTCATTTGCATAACATATCGCTGGAAATTATATTTCTCGTATTTTGATGTGTGCTGATATATTATCTATTTAGCGTTACTCTGCTTGACAGAATTGGGCGACGGTTATCTTTTTTCACATGTTTGGCGACCTTAATAACTGGTGGATTTTTAACATCGATATCAAATAACTTTTGGACTTGGGCTGTTACACGTGTCATCGTCGGCTTGACAATACCGGCGATTTACCAAATACCATTTATTATCTGTAAGCACTTGAATGAACTTTATTGTCTCTGTTAAAAAGAAACTAATCACTTATCAACGTAAGTCACGATATTTCGCAACCACCTTATCACGATTATTTTCGCAGCCTTGGAACTGGTCGGACCGAATTATCGCTCATTCGTAACGGTCATGACTTGCACTTTCTACACTATGGGCCTCTGTATGTTAGCAGGTGTCACTTATTTGATACGCGACTGGCGAACACTTGCCGTAACTACGAGTGCGTCCTTCCTGATTTACTTTTTCTACTGGTGGTGAGCGAATAATCAACATGAAGAATTACTTTACTCGTTGAAAAATACGATAATAACGTAACGGAATGCTATGACGTATCATACCGCCACTTTAGTATATTTATATAATATCCTGTCCTTGAATGGTGATCGTTAGCTGGTCAATTTCAGTAATTGGTTTATAATTATGAACTAATCACGGTAAGAGAAGTCGTCAAAGTATTTTTTCAAGTGTTTTTATTCCTCTCGTGCGTGCATCATAAATCTTGTTTATGCGCAAAAGGTCGGAGATCATTTCAGGTTCTTGCCGGAGTCACCGCGGTGGTTGTTGGCGAAAGGCCGCCTAGGCGAAGCTAACGACATCCTCGAGACTTTAGCCCGGGTAAATGGGAAAAAACTTCCGGCGTCGTTCACACAGAAGCTCCGTCAGCGTATGACGATGTCGAGGTCGAAAAGCGAGGAGGAGAGATTACGAGCCGGTCCCGGTGTTCTCTCGCTATTTAAAACGCCTAATATGCGCCTCAAGACGTGCCTTATTACTTTAAACTGGTAAATTATGGGACATGGAGGAGTGTATATATCGATTTTGTGAATGTTTAGCTGAATACGCGACAGCTTCGCGCACGCCAACGTCAGTTTCTTTATACACTGAAAGAAAAAAAGTGCTGCATTCAGGCAAACGTTTGTTAAGGAGTATTTATTTTACTTAGATTACGAACAAATATTACTTGAATGTGACACAATAAAAAAAATGCTATATTCAAGTGATATTTATTTAATCTAAAGGGCCATTCCACAATTACGTAATTTTTAAACATACAATATCAAATTAATTACTTTATTTTATAATTTTGACCAGAAAAAGTTTAATATTTTTAAAAAAGAGAATATTAAAAAATTAACATTTTGATTATTAACAAAAAACCATGTCAAAACTTTTATCAAATGTAACCAAATGTGTCACGAATGCAAACAAAGTAGCTAACCACGCGTATCTATATTTACAAGCTGTGTTATCTAATGTAATGTTCTATGGCCTTTACTTCCCCTCCCCCCTCTATCATCACAGGACCGTCTGTGCAAGTTAATAGACTCTCCTTCTCCTTTCGTGGTGTAACATAATTCTTGAATGGCCTCTAAAAGTAAAATAATTGCTTTAATACTCCTTAACAAATATTCACTTGAATGTAGCACTTTCTTTCTTTCAATGAATCTCTTACCTATTTTCGCTTATGTCTTCTCATCTTTCGTTTATCTTCACGACTTGCTTATTCATAGTTATTGTCGATCAGTGAACGTCGAGTGTTTCCGTTGTTTATTTATCCACCGACCTACATCGACCCGAGTATAATTTTCGGGCTGGCAGCTTATATCTGTCATGCATCTGTCTGCATCTGCAATTATAATCATGTTATTCGATCGGATTGAGTTCCAGATAAAAGAGACGGTTGATTCGGGACTGCAGTAGATTCTGACGATAAAATTGGTTACGATAAAATCGAGCGATAATTTCTAATGAAACGTCAAGTTTACGCAATGCCCGACGCGACGATGCATCTTGTTTCTATTGCGATTAGGTTCGCCAACAACATGGTGTACGTCGGTCTTTCCTATTACGGGCCGGCTCTGGGGAATGAGGAACATCTGAGCTTCCTGTTCTCTTCCCTCGCCGAGATTCCCAGTTACATGGCGTGTTGGGTTGTAATGGATCGATGGGGCCGCCGGTGGCCGCTTTGCTTGTGCATGGTGGTGGCTGGAGTGTCGTGCATTGCCACGGTGCTGCTTTCGTCCGGTACGCACCATTAGTCAATTAGTTAATGACTCGGTTAATTAGCGATAGTGGAGCGCGATATAATTAGTTAGTTGTATAATGTATCGACATTGCAACTCTCCGGTAAAAACAGGAGAGCTACTTTCTTACGCTACGATTCTAGATAAAATTCGAAAAGAAAACTCGTAAAAATATTTAGGATCGGAACTGTAATTCTATACGTATTGTAAAACGTGCGGTCACTAGCATTAAATATCTCTACGATTTTTCATAAATTTTATAGCTAGCATAGATCCCGTGAGTCAGCAGAGATTGAAATTAATTGAAATCAATCGTCAATTAAATGACCTCTAATTGAATTCGTTGAGATCAGTTGTCAATTAATTTTGTTAAATTACATTTTTGTTCAAAGTAATTATTCAATCGAAAACAATTTAATTGATATTTTGGCATCCCTGATTCGTAAGTTACGATTTATTCATAAATTTGCTTAGAATTTGCTTAGCATTAATGTTGATAACAGTTGTCAAATAAAAGAAATTACACGCACAGTTAGCGGACTGTTAGTGAGTATTGTTCGATCTTTCGTAATTCAAGATGCTGTGCTGGAGACGCTGATATTGTTCCTCATATCGAAGTCGGCGATATCAGCGTCATTTCTAATTATCTATCCGTTCGCCGGGGAACTTTATCCTACTCAATTGCGCGGAGTTGCCATTGGCTTCTCCGCGTACATCAGTGGCCTCGGACTCATCATTATACCCTTCGTGACATACCTCGTAAGTCTGAATTAACATCCGAATTCTACCGAAACAGTCTATTCTATTATTTATTTTTCTTCATGATGAAAGCGTTTCGTTGCTAAAAGTTAATTATTGTCCCCGGTTTTCAGGGAAAAGAGAATCTTGTCTTGCCTCTAGTCATTTTAGGCGCGATCTCGATAATTGGAGGCTTGTCTGGACTGCGGTTACCAGAAACATTGCATCACCGTTTGCCGCAGACGGTGGAGGAAGGTGAATTGTTTGGCAAAGACTGGACGTGCGCGGATTGCATCCGTTGTATTCCCATAAAGTACGCATTAGTAAAAATCACGTACGAAAGAGATTGTTGTTATTTTGAGAAATGATTTCTCTCCGTTTATCTTCCTTAAAAAGATAAAATCAACAAATATTTTCAGCAAAGATGTAAATTTGTGAATAACTTAATTATTCACAGATATATACAGAGTGTCCCATTTTAATGGAAACAGTGGAAAACGGGGAAATTTATTCACCTCTAAAGTCTACAACTTTTGTCTGAACCATTTTTTTGTCAATTGCTTCGTTTTCAAGATATTCCACTGTTTCCGTTAAAATGGGACACGCTATAATCAATCAAGCAATCATGAAAATCGTTACTCGGCTTAATTATTGCAACGCGTAACATTGATCGTGTTGTTTTCTTCCGTGAATAGTTTTTTACCTCATTAGAATTTATAATTTTTAGACCTTCGTCGATTACGACATCTTATGAGGATTTATCAGCACGAGAAAACGTTGAGATGTATGAAATGCCTGAAGTGCCGCTTGCTTCGTCCATTTTAGAGGAACAACAACGACCAAATACGGCGAGCGTTCGCCGTTTGGTTCGTCAATCCAGCGTAATGGACACGCAACGCGATTCCGACGGGACCATGAAGATGACATATTGGTTTTAATTTGAATCGCATTGAATCACTTTACGTTTCAACAAAAATCAAGTCGAATGTATTTTCTCCGTTTTATCTTAAATAGTTGAAATATTTTTTTATTGTTGATTGTTGATTCCATTCCATTTCTTCGCGTAAAAGAAATTCAAGAAACAGTTGAGGAGTTGAGAAATTTCCATATATCATATTTAGTTTTTAATTTCATTGTATCTCTAACGATGTATTTATATATACATGTACATAAGTAAAAAAATAATTCTACTAAATAAATTCTATTTTAATAAGAAAAGAAATAGTGAGAAGATATATCAGTTTATTCGTGTTATGTGATATCCGTATATCGCTTTATTCAATAAAACTTCGTTATCCTCGGTAACAAGCATATTAACGAGATCTGCTGAAACCTGGAGGGATTTACGGCACTGCAGCGTGAGAAATAAATTTCCAATGTTAGTCGGAATTATAGAATTACATATCAAAGATGAAAAAATTCCCACGCGATCGAATGCGCCCGCTCTCTCTCTCTCTCTCTCTCTCTTTGTCTTCCTTACGGTGAAATTTAGCCGAAAGGTTAAACGAATGAAAACGAACTGCAGGAGCAGGCCGGATCGTGTCCACGATGCAATTTATTCGTTTCCTGTATACAAAACACGAGAGGGTAGCGGAGAAGAATGAGAGAGTGAAGAATTTCAGCCTGGAGTGCCTTTTTTTCCGTTTTCCTTTGTGCAAGATCCGGGATCAATCTGTGTTGCGCGCGTTTCTCTCGCGTTATCCCCTCGTAGAGAAGAGAGACCCTTCTGATCCCCCTCCCTCGGCTCACAGACGGGTGGTCCTGTTGTAGCAGCTATAAGCAGGAGAATCTCTGTACGATTTGCGACGTGGGTCAACTCGGCGAGTGTTTTCTCGCGTACGACTTACCTCTCTAGAATTCGCCGCTTCAGCTCGGGCGGATAGGACACGTATATGTAGTGGTCGGGCATGTCCTCGCTCGACAAGGGCAGATTCTCATCCCCGTGCTCGCCCTTCCGTCTTTCCAGCCTTCCCTCGCCGTGCAGACTCGGATCATGTAACGGCGAGGTACTCGAGCGATCCGTGCTGCCGTTGTAATCCACACTGCCGGTACCGTCCGGCCGATCTTCGTCCGCCGTTCTGTTACGAGAGCGAGATTCAAAGAAAGATCGCGCGAGTCAACCCAACTCCGGTATCTCTTTCATACAGCGTGCGATATGCGGAACGTGTGTGCTGCGATAATGATGCTAATAATAATGATAATGCGAATAATTACGCGGAAAATGGCAACGGTGAGCCGGTAAACGCCGATAAAAGTGAGTAAGCCCGAAGATCGAGAGATTGCTATCTAATCGTTCGCTTAGTATCTTTTTTCAGATAAGAATGTACATTAAAATAATGTATATTAGATAACGTGACGTTACGCACGGAGGTTGCTTCAAAGCGACCTATGTAGTCAATATGTTATGTAAGATATTGACTATCTATGGTCAGATTTTTTCATACTCCTCACACACACACACACACACGCACACGGTCCTCTCTGTACACGTGCGTTGATTAACGATGCACGTCGCCCAGCTTATCGTGCCGGTGACTTTTTCCGCGTGATTTTGCGCGCAATTCGTGATTTTTGCTCGATCGCCGTTCGGCAGAACAATTTTCGCTGTCCTCATGAGGAAAGGGCGAGGGGGATAATTAATTCGGCATGACGTACTTGAAGCAGACCCAAATGACGTAATAACACGCATAGATTGACGAGAACAGCATCACTATAAATACGGTCAGCAGGTACCAGGGCGTGTGACGCTGCTGTCTCTTCGTGTCCTCCCAGTATTTGTCGCAGCTGAGGTACCAGCAGATCGCACGATTCAGCTCGCCTGTTCGGAGGAAAGAACAACCGATAAAAGGTGGGAGGGGGGGGGGAGCGGGGGAGGTGTCATCTGCCGCGCCACGAGCGCGATTAATCGCGGAGCGTGTCGCGCCTTACCTTCGATTTCCTGAAAGTCCCGCACGGAGAGATTGGCGAGCAGTCCGGCGATGCAATCGCGCACGAGTATCTGTCGACAACAACAAGCGCGATGAATGCGACTCGGGACTGTATGTTTGCGAACAGGGGCGTATTCGCAAACGCGCGTCTCGCGGTGTTAAACGCTCGCCGCGATTTGCACCACCGATCGCACACGGTAAGAGATTTCGAGGGATCTCGCGTGACAGCCGAGAGATGTCAAGGAGAGTCGGTAAGCTGAAGTTTCAAGGGGCTCGTACAGCCGTGACGGTTATTCGAATAGAAAGTACATGGCCTTGCGAAAGCACACGGCGGGTGTATACATACTCGTAATGCATCTGCAGTATAAAACGCGGTAAAGTGCTGTAGAATACGGATATACCGGCTCGTTACGTGATCCCTGACATGATAGCGCTGCATATTTCGACGAATAATCTAGGCGGATCGTTCAGGAACAGGATTGCGTTGTGACTTTGTCACGTCAATCCGGAGTGATTCCCATATAAGAACGTTTCTTGGGAGCCCGGTCCGATTTCCCAAAGTAACGGATGGATTCTAGCTAGGAAGTTTCGTTGGAAATTAAAACTGTAATCTCGTTTGTCAACCTGCTAATTTGATATTCTGACGACAGTCGCGCGCAGCAACGTGCAGCCGGCAATCAGCGTCGCGGAAAAGAAGCTTCGTTCCGTGTATGGGGTAAGAATAGGACTCCCAATTAGTCTCGTAACGGGGAAACCTATTCTGGGACAACTTTGAATATTCCAATCTACGCTGTGCACACGGGAAAATCTGGGGGAATTTCTACGTGAGCGACTAACTTCGCATTGGGTCTTCAGTTTCTGCAGCTCCTCCGGCTTGCAGTTGGACTTGAGTTTCCTCAGATGCAGCCCCCTGCGCCTCTGCTTCTTGTCGACGGCGGGCAACGCCGCCTCCACCAGGTTCTCCTCCTCGTCCTCGGCGTCCTCGTCGTCCTCGTCCTCGTCCTCCTCGCCGTCGCAGGCGCTGCTCTTGTTGTCCGGTCCGGCGACCTCGTTGTGATACGACGACCTCGCTAATCTGTGATTGTGCATCTCGCCGTCGCCGTGGTCATCACGGCGGCAGTAACGCTGCAGATTCGTCATCGCGCCACCGCCAGCGATGGCGCAGGACTTATCCGCGGGATACATCCTGGCGAGGCCACGCGACTCGCACGGCACGACGGAAGTGCTGCGCTGCTGGTGGTGTTGCTGCCGCTGCTGCCGTTGCTGCTGCTCGGTGTTCTCACGCCAGACCTGAATGTCGGTGCTCAGGTGGCCGCTGTCGTCGTCCACCGAGTTCTCAAAGTCACGGGTGCCCAGCACGTCGCAGCGCATGATGTCGCAGTAGTCCGCCAGGCACACTGCGTCCTCCGCCTTCGTAAGAAAGGGAGATGGCGGCATGGAAAAAGTCAATCTTAAATCAATGATTGATATTCTTACGAAATATCGTAATCTTCTTAAAAGTTTTTAAGAAGACCTTTACTTGATTTCATCGAATTTGATCGAATTTTATTGACGTAAGTACATAGAGAAAAGATTATAGTAAAAATTACTACAGAGCTTGTAACGTTGGAATATACCGGGAATATTATCGAAATTACTATGTGTGTTGTAATCTTTAATAATAAGTATCATGTGTACGGATCATTAAAGATCACAACACACATAGTAATTTCGACGATAATATTCCAGGCATTTCAAACTTTTGTAGCAATTCTTTACTACAATATTTACTCCATGTATTAGTTTTATATTCAATTCAAAACTAAAAATCTTCTAAGAATGCTAAAATATTCTTATTTATGTATAAGAATACCTAACATTGATTTAAGATTTTTTTTTTCTGTGAGAAAAAGCTCATTTGCGTCACGATCATTTAGGCAGCTTCTGGCGCTTCTGGAAATTTTTCTTTTTATCAATTGCTTACCGTATTTACGTTACTTTTGTGTCTGTTATCGAAATGGGCGTCCAGATGTCTCTCCGCGTAAAAGGACTTGCCGCAGAGGCCGCAGGTCCATTGCGACGGCCTGTGCTGGTGCTTCGCTTTTTGTTGGGGTCGAAAAATGTCTCGACTTTCGTGAAATGGGCATTCCAACGGCAACTCTACCTGATACTTCTTCAGTATTGGCATCCATCTCTGAAATCCCGATGAAGATGTTGCCTAGCTGTCTCTCTTTTGTGTTTCTCGGGCTTCGTTGGTTTAATGAGTCGTCGAATGAAATCATTGAAATTCTCCTTCGTTCTACAATCTTCGCGAGTAAAAATCGAAGAGATCGTATGCGTTTACATTGTATTTATTTCCAAGCGAAACCACGATTTCCAATCCCTGGGAGATCGGATTCCCGAATGATTAAAGCCTCAGCGAATAATCGTCTCACCGGTGAGTTGCAATCGATCCGTTCATTTTTGCTCACCTTGTGAACTATCCTCCTCACTACAGACGCTCGATCGCGAGGGCATGATATCTTAAAGACGCTGGGACCCGGCCATGGAATCACAGATAAGAGCAGCACTGCTAAAACCTGAAGATATGCATTATCAATATTTATCTGGGCATACTTTTCCAAAATTCTTTCAGAATAAGATAAATAACCTTTTCAGCTAGAACGTCGTGATACATCGATCGTCTCTTGTGTCAAAGTTAAACAAACGGTTTGCCAAGAGAAACAAAATAAAAGAATAAAACTCCTCGTGAAATTCACGTGGAAGAATGTTTGATTCGATACACGCACTTAACAATTTCTTTCTGTTATATATAATACCGACATAATATCGAGTTCCTTTACGCGAGAAAGGCATGTCTTAATTGGGGCCGTATTATGGCCTACCTAATGACCGGGCGTAAATGGCAAACGTCAAAGTGACGCAGAACGGTTGTTATACCAACCTTAATACACCCCGTAACACTGTATACAACCGACAAGCGATGTTCTTTCTCGAGCACACATGCATAAGTAATGCAATCGATAGAAATGTCGCCACTCGCTCACGCACATTAATATTCCTTTTAACTATCTTTAATCACGGCACGATAACGCGCACTACTCCATCACGTTTTCCGCGAGACGCGTGATTCTTTCTCGCGCGACCAACGTGAAACTTCGTGCGAACTTCGAAGGGATCCGGAAGGCACATCGAGCGAATAAGACGCGAATACCGCTGCCACTGAAGGGTGTTAATTACCTCGAGGTGAAAGGGTTGGGTCTTCATTCATAGCCCAAATGCTCCGTGCGAGAGTGATTCGGCGCGACGATTACGAGCTTCGGGGGTGGCCCAGTCCGTTTTCTGAAAGCGATTGTTTCTGCGTGCGAGTCACCGTTAGTCGAGGGTGTACGTGGGTTGCAACGGGGGAGCACTGCAGGGTCCACGTCGACATGGCGTCACCCTCGGGCGCAGGTTTCAAGCGAATACAGGGGTGTCGCGTACAGTCCCGGCATTCGTCGTCTTTGGTGAGTTTGTTTAAACGCGTTTTCTTGACTGACGGTGGCCTCTTTTAAGAAAAAGGGAAAAATGACGAGTGGAAAATTTGTTGAGGTCGATGACCGAGTTCCGTTAAAATTTAATGTGATTTACCGCGATTGAGACTCGAAGGAATGTCCATTCGAATTTAGGGGAGAAAAATATCGAATTTGCACTCGAGTTATTTTCAAAATAGACCATTTCTCGCGACTTTTAGCGACTATTTGTGACAGCTTTGCAAACGGTGCTGTTTCTGCAAATACAAGAGATTGTTTACAAATCAAATAAAATCAGTCAAGTAAAGCGTTAAGATTTTTAACTGGTGTGCAAATATGTATTTTTTTTTAATCGCTATCATTTTGTTGCTATTAAATACGTAATTTGTCAAGTTTTGTATAAGAAATTAGTACGGGAAATGCACTTGTACAATTTTGTATCGTGTAATCCAAAAAATTCCAATAGATTTTATCCGTTGTTATCGAACGACCTCATGAGACGTCCCTGCCTTGGCAAGCGTCATCGGCGTCGGCGTCAGCGTCGATGAAGATGCGCCGACGCATTGGCGCTTCAGCCAACATGAATTGACTCTAACGCGCAGGAACTGCGAAACTGGCGGCCTTACGAACGAAGAACGCGATGTTGCGCGCAATAAAATTCGCGATGATTCTCGAATATAATATGACCTGATCTTTCATCCGGTTGGAAATTGAATAATTGAATAATCACTGTCACATATATATCAATAATCTCATAATATTTCAAAATGAATCGCTGACTGCATTGTGTTTTCTATCAATCACGGCAGATACAATAGTATTTCCTGCTTTCGTTCTGCTTGGAGAGCATCGCTAGGTAGCAAGAGGATGGACACATCTCGTGTTTACGAAGATAATTTCCTATTATAGAGATTTAAATATCGTTGAGTTTAACATATACTCTTTAACGAATAATGCAAGAGCAGTTAACGCGATGGAGGAAAAATTTAAAAGGAAACATTCAAAGTAAATTTCAAAACATAAATTTAACGCATCGCATACTTTGATATCATGTTTATACATTCGCTTAAGAACACTCGATGTTTACTTTGACTTTTTCCTTGTTATGTTTTGCAACATAAAGTAACAAGATAAGGTAAATACGGTAATCGATGCTCAATTGTAAATGGCTGATCAAAGTATAAAATACTAATAATAAGTTTGACGTTATTAACCTTATTTAAAAGTTTTTGCGACGTTCGATGAAAAGGAAATGAGCTGTCTGGCGGGAAATCAGAACATATCTGGCAAAATGTCAAAGGTTATTGGCTATAATGCAAAATAATGAAATGAGCAGATACATTAAAGTCTTAGTTCTAATTTCAAATTGCTACTACGTATATGATTACGTAAGCATTCGCGATACTGCGGAAAATCGACATCAGAATATGCATATATAAAATATACGTTAGATTACTACACTACACTATAAGTACTATAAATACAAAAACACTATAAATACAATATTGCAAAATGAAAAATTATTGCTACACTAACTCAAGGATCACTATATCTTTAATATTGTTATATAATGTATATGTATCATGAAAAACGACAAATAATTGATTTTAAGACTCTTTTGGCAATAAATACCGTTCACTACGTACCACAATAATAAATATGTTTTTAATATTTCAGGAAAGTTGTGTCGTACGACGTTGAAATTTAGTTTCGTGCAATTTTTTACGTCACATTTATTAAAATAAAAATTTTCATTTTCATATTCTTTTGGTGCAAAAATTATCGGAGGAACTACTTGACTTGTTTTAAATCAGACTTTAAAGCGCATTTTGAACAGACTTTAGTCGAATCTGCTATGTTAGTCTTCAGAGAGAATGCATTACGTACATACTACTCGGGTTCTTGTTTTTCCTAGATCAATGTGTTTATTACGAATTCAGCCAACTTCATTGAACCCAATCAACGATATTGACTCTAGTATAAGATCACTGTACCACACAAATCACTCGATGTGATGTCTGTTACTTCTCATGTAATCACAATTCTTATGGTAATTTTCAGAACGATGAAGACCAATGGTAGCATTTACCGCGGTAAATTTTCGTCAAAGTCCCGTAACGTCCGCGGAACTCGGAGTAAAAAAAGAAAATCGGTTACATGCTGAAACATATCGTACGTAAAATTCCTTCCAAATTTAGAATTCCTTCGAAAATTTTGTTTGTCGAAAAGATGCCAAATCAATTCTTTCTAAACTGAGGTTCTGAAGTTATTAAGATTCCATTTAACCTATTGTTCAATATCAAAGTTCAGATCTTATCTTTCTAGTACAACTTCAACAGAAAATATTTTTTAACTGCACTCACACCGAACGCTTTTCTGCACATGTTTATCGATAGATTAGATATAAACACACAGATACATTAGACGGGAATGACAGTGTTGAATGCAGACTGGACTTTCGACTTTCGTCACCTAACAGGCACCAGGCCAGTAGTGCGCGTAGCTGAACTATTTGTTAAAGAGATGGTAATATCCGAGCTTCGATCACACGACTTCTGGCCATACGGAATAACGAAACGTTACATAAAAATAGAAATATACGTTAAATACAATCAGAGATCTTCTGAAATTTATTTTCACATTAGTTCATCAGTTGAACGCGACGAATCTCGCGTCTAGCTGGCGTTTTATTTCCGTCATCTCAGCTTGTCAACTTGCTGTCCTGGTAAGGCTTTTCTAGCATGACAAACTCCACATGGTGGGGAGCCAGACGATATCTGCAGTGAGCTAGAAGTTAAGCGCTTTGCTGAAGAAGCTCTCAGTCCGTCATTGAAAACGGCACGGTGGACATCGGTGTCGCTATCGAACAGCGATCCGCCTCATTTCTCGCGGGATCGCATCGAAATTACGACCGAGATCGCGTGAGAAAGTGAGAACAGTGCTGCGGCGCACCAACGCGTTTTCTGAGTGTGGCTGATGTCTTGCCAGACGAGGCGATACCGAAAATGAAATAGTGCTGTAACGAGAACTATCCGGGAAACTATCGTGAATCTGCACTTTGAAAGAGGAAGAGAGAAAGAAGGACGGACGGAAGAAAACGGTAAAGCCAATCGCAGGTTTGGATTCTGTTTACCTGCGCCAAGATGTTTCCCACGCGGAAACACTCGCAAAGCTGTCAGCCTTAGCGCGTTGAGATGCTAAGTCAGTATCGTCCAAGATTTCGGGGACTAACTTAGTCTGAAGAACGTTCGAAAGCCGAAATAGAAATCTTTGAATTTGCGTTCGTCCTTTTCGTAAACTTCGTTGGTGAATTTGTTGAAACAATCGCGCAAATCGTAAATTGGCGTTCTCAGTGTTAAGTAAGTAAATGCGGAAAGGTCGATGAACTGGAATTTGGAGTATCTATATTTAGGTCGAAACGCGCACGAGTACGAGGATGTAAGTGTGTAGGCAATTCGACAAATCAGTGTAGCAGATGCGCGTGTGCACGAGAAATCATTCGGATTTGAAGAAAATGTTAATATTTTATGTACATAACATGTATATAACAATTGTTGTGTATATATATGCATGTATATATTACTATATGTACTGTACGTATATATAGATCTATATATACTGTACGTATATAGAGACATTCAATTCGTTATTTCTATGATAATAGAAGATATTTACTTGTATATAAACATATATACAGCTATATTTATATAGCTGTACTGAAATGTGCACGTTTCGCAGCCTTTTGTGTTACTTCGGTTCTTCAGCAGTTCTTAAAGTAATACTTAGGAAGGATAATTGTTTGACTAATAAGTTTTAAGCGACTAGAGGAAATTGTATTGCGCATTGAGTATTACGTAAGAGCGTTTTAAGCAATTAGAGAAAACTGCACAGCGCATTGTATTCTCGTTTGCTAAGTAACGAATTCGTGATAAGAACAATGCAACGTTAAACGTTTGTTTTACCTTGACGTAGGAAACGTGTTGAAAGATAAACAGACGACGTTAAATTAGTATATTCACCTTGTTGACGTGTTACTTTTTAACGTATTTATTTTGTTAAAGTGAAATTTTATATAAAACATCAAGTGATTCGTTTTAACACAAAACTTTCATCGCATGAATATAAGATATATAATCGTATGTATAAGTGTAAATACAACAGTAATAAATAATGAAATGGACGTTCGTTAAACATCACAGTGACACGACCTTTCCTGATAATATATTTATCAAAAAAGCCGCGCGATAGCAGTCGTTGTAATTTATACGATATCGCTCTTCGATTCACGAAGATACGTGAGTGTAAAAATAAAAGAAGGACCCCTTCGAATTCTTCCTTTGGTGAAAGCGGGACAGTATATGAATGCACATACATGCCAGCGTATACACGCAATGCTCATATACTCCTCGTTCCGAATGGAACCGTACAGATTATACTGTACTGCGTTAGCGATGTTTGCCGATATCTAAATTATTAAACAACGTCGAGGGGAATAACAATAAGCAAAAAGTTAATGCGATATTATGCATCTTAATTATTCAAGACACGCTGAATAACCGTGCCGTTTCCAACGTCGATTTGCCGCTACGGTTGTCGCAAGCGACACTCGATAATTCGAGCTAAATGATTTAATTTAAATAATTAGAGCTGTCGACGGATATCTTTAATGCAATAATGGAATATAGTCACGAGTTATCTGTGACATTCAAACGACACCCCATTTTGTATGTGATCGTTAATTTAATGATTGATTAGTGATAAGCCTTCTCTCTTGAAGCATTGGTATCTATCGATTACTCGTTCCGGAAGGTGACGTGAAGAAATGCGTTCAGAAGTGAAATCATCGAAAACCGGCGTTCGTCATTTTCATAATCGATATTTCCGGGGACCGCATCGTTGTTTGTCACGCCGATATGAAACAAGTGCCGCGTAATGCATGCGTTTTCAGAGAAAAAAAAAACATCTCAAACCTTGGACGAATCTGACCATTACAAAATCTTTCTTTTATCTTCCTTCCGTTGTGATTCATTTATATGATTAATCACATTTATTTAAATCCGTGCCGTGCGTAAAATCCAATTAGATTTCACGGATTTCGCATGTCACGTTGAAGAGCACGTCATTCGAGGCGATTGAAATAAAAGTAGTAAGCGAGATTCTAGAACAACTTTTTGCGCGCCATTTTTTTGTTTCGCCAAGGTTCACGTTGCGAAAAAATCATCTGTGGATAATCGCACATTCACGTACGAGTAATGTATCTTTATGTATTCAATCATACTCGTTCCGCTTTCAATGAAGAAGACAATTGTTATCGCTTGGTTACCCGAGTCTGGGCTATTTATGTCGTGAGTGATAACGCGATGAAATACTTGGCAAAAACTACATGTTAAACTACTACTGCAAAAAAATCATTACACGCGCTGAAACGGATATTCACTCGGCACAATCATAACAAACTGTGTCTGATATCTTGATAACATTCTGTACTTTGAATTGTTTATTCTTAATTCACGTTGAACTCCAATTAATTTCGACGCATCGATTGCGTGAATATACTTGCCGCCTCTGAATAAGTCAGTCTGAATATATAATAGCTTGTAATCGGCCTACTTCTCAATTAATATTAAGCGTTGTAGGGTGCATACCCTTGACATCGATGCCTGTATCATATACGAAAATTAAGTCGATTTCAGAACGGCAGCGAATGAAGTTCATCGGATACGGGCGGAAAATGACGGTAAATTCGCAAAACGAGCTCATTGTCGTGGATTATCGCGATGACTGCGATAACGAGAACAGCCAACGATTTTCTAACGCGTGTCACGTTTCAATCGCGACATCTGTTTCATATATCATACACGTAATTTCTTTGTTAAATATCATAGACTAACATTAGATATTATATGATATACTGTAAATGCAACACTCTTTGCCATTCTTCATTAGAAGCGTTTTCGTGATTCGTATGTCAAAGAAGTCAACTGTTTGACTATGCATTATGCTTAGTTCATTGACACTCATTTCAACGGTCGCTACTTGAAACTTTTTTCACTTGTGATAAGTCAGATTTGAATTTAAAATTAGATTTTTTTCAATCAATCCGTACGATACATGACATGCATTAAGATAAAAGTATCATGTCTGGACGTGCACCTAATCACGAACATTCTTATTGCTTTGGTCTTTAACATGAATGTCTAATCCTCAATTTTTGATTTAAAAAGATTTATATGTATTCAATAGATGTATGTATATTCTATGAAAGTTTGAATATTTGTATTTAAATATCAAAACAACAAGAAATTCAGAATTAAGTGCCACATTGGCACTTTTATATTACATTTGCAACGACGATTTAACGAAAAAACCGGCAAACGCGTGAGTTTACCGGAAGCCGGAATATTAATATGTTCTATTAATAGGTTCTTTTACTGACAACATCGGTAGGTTAAATGTTAAAATTCAAATTTGAATATCTCTTTCGAAATAAGTTTTCTATGAAAACTGATGATTTATATAACGACTGTTGATACAGGTAGAAAATGAAAATGATCGATTTTACTCATTATCTCTCATAATCTCTTATTTGGTACGGCTATAAACCTGTTCGTAATTTTCCGTTACGACAAAAAGGAAAAGAAAAATGTTAAAAGAATTTTGATCAACAGCATTTAGTATTTAACACATGACGACTCGGTTTTTCGATTTCGCTGTTGCAGTATATATTTTCGATTGTTTTCAAGGTTAATTTTATTTACTATAACAAACAGGAACATCTGTAATATAACATATCTGAATATCTTTCCTGTCACGTAATATTATATAATATTAAGATAAAATGACCATTGAACATTTGGTAATATGAGTTTAAATAATATGAATAAATAAATAAAAATAATATAAAAGTTCATCAATTCAAAAACGTGACGGAAAGTTGTTGAGAAATGGAAAAATGGAAATGAAAAACGTTTTAAATATTCAAAAGTTGTTATTTTTAAATATTTAAAGGTTGCTATCAAGCACTTGACTTATGTCGATGTACGAGATTTTATGTTCATTTATGTCAGGCATAAAAAAATATTATATATAAAAGAAAAAAGATAAAAGAAAATTATTTCGTGCAAACAGACGAATTCTGTTAAAGAATACAATGCCTGATGATAATGTTTATTTTATACGCACGACGTTTTATATTATTTAGAAAATTCATGTTATCTCATTCATAAACTCAGTCAAGCCTGTAGGCGACGCAATATTGTAAAAAACCAAAATTACAAATGAAATATATTCCGAGTAACTAGGATTAATACGTATATTCGTGTATATTATGGTGTTGATTTCCGTTAACTCTACAAAAATTTATCTAATTTACTGACAATTGGATCTTATTAAAATTTCTGTAAAAAGAAATATAATTAGAAGTGTAGACATATTTTTCGCCTCGTTCATTAACTTTCTATCGACCATGTGCTGATCAATTTTTTAATTTACTTTAGGTGTTTAATTGCTTAACTTAATGGAAAACGCGGTGATATAATGCCGCTCATCGCTAATTTTCACATTCACTCCACGTGTTAGCCGCACATGGCTGTTTAACATTTACCATCTATCGCAACTAAGTATTTGAAGATTACTATGTAGATTATTATGTAGAATTGTAAAAACGTATAAGTTACAATGCAAAAAGTAAAATAATTTCTGCTACTTCGCGACCTGTCTTTACATTCTATGATTTTTATCATTCATTTGTATATGTTAATTATCTATTTCTGCATTTGTAGGTTTCGATCGGTACTATTACGTGTTGACGAGTTAGTAGCGTCCAAACATGGCAACAAATATGTTTCATGGTATGAGGAAACTGGGCCGGGTTTTCTCGGATGCTGGGATAAGAGCGCTGAACCCTACGCTGAGGCGTGCATCGACCTTAGCGCAAAGCAAGGTTGTGGAGGGGCCAAACGGCGAAAGGATCATTCAGTCACCGTATGGTGACATTTCTCCCTTCTCCGAAATGCTAATCCACGAGTACGTTTGGAACAAAGCCGAGGACTATCCTAATAAAGTTGCTTTGGTAATCTCAATTATCTAATAGATCACTCGCGTACCTGCAATAGATAATATATTTACGCGAAGCGACTCTCCGATCAGTCGCAATTGTTTTGTGTACAAACGGATTACTGATTATAATTATCAGGTTGGTAAGAAAGTTGTGTCGTTTTTCTGTTCCAAATTGTTCCAATTGAAATGTACATTATTTCGTTGTTCTTTGTGCAATTTAGATAATTTTGGTATTAATCGAAAGCTAGTAGTTCCACGTTTTGATTTTTGATATTACAGGTATTTTTTAATCATTAAATTTTGAAAAATAGGAGTATATGATGGATAAAAAAAACTTCATTTTAGGCACTCTATGCTTTATGAGTTCCAACTTGGTCATAATGCGACGGAAGCTCATAAAAATTTGTGTTTCGTCTTTGGACCATCTAAAGTTAAAGTGCGTACGGTCTAAAGATGGTTTGAAAAATTCAGGTCAGATGACATGAAGCTTCAAGATGAACTTCGCACCGGAAGACCAAAGGAGCTTGATGACGACGTTCTGAGGGCTTTAATGGGTAATGAACCACTATTGACTACGAGGGAGATCGGGGATAAGTTAAGCGTTAGCCACATAACAATTGAAAACCACTTGAACAAGCTTGGCTTTGTCCACAAATAGTGTCGTTGGATTCCCCGTGAATTAAGCAAAAAAAATATGGCAGATCGAATTTCTATTGCTTCTTCTTTGCTTGCTCGACAACAATATGAACCATTCTTGAATCGCCTGGTTACTGGTGACGAAAAGTGGATTGTGTGTGACAACGTAGTGAGGAAAAGAGCCAAGGTAATGCCTGGCAGTTCGCCTCCCACCCTTACGAAGGCCAATTTGCACCAAAAAAAGCTAATGCTTTGCATTTGATGGGATTGTCGAGGTTCTATCCACTGGGAACTGTTGCAACCAGATCAAACTGTCACAGCAGACCTATATTGTAATCAGCTAATCTGACTGGATACAAAAATACGTGAACTTCGTGCAGCACTGTATAACCGAAAAGGTGTTGTCTTCCAACATGACAATGCCAGACCTCACGTGGCTTTAAGGACGAAGGAGAAGCTCCAGGCTCTTGGTTATGAAGTTTTATCACATCCACCATACTCACCTGACCTGGCACCATCTGACTACCACTTCTTCCTCTCGATGCAAAATTTTCTTAAAGGAAAAATATTTCGAAACTTCCAGGATGTTCAGAGGGCAGTGGTAGATTTCCTGGCTTCAAAGGATAGGATCTTTTATACATCCGGCATAAATGACTTTGTTGACAGATGGAGGAAGGTCATAGAAAACAGTGGTCAATATTTCATCTTCAACAGTGGTCATTAATTAATCTCACTTATGAGCTTAAATATAAGAAATTGAAATTTCTTCAAAAAAACGACATAACTTTCTTACCAATCTAATATTTGAGAAACTCAATTCCGCAAAATTAAGAGGAGGCACTTCGATACAGTCGATCATAGGACGATTGCAACAGTTCTTTTTACATGTTTCGGAACACACACAAAATTTGACAAAGCGAACCTAACGCCTTTCTTTTGTTTTTCTTTGTTGTTTTTATTTCAACGCGTCTGTGTAATATAATGTAAACAACGCAACTACAATAAATGTTCTAAGAACGTTGCTTGAATAATTTATATAATATGCAGAATTTTTAATACCGTTTTTATCATTCAGGAATGCGGTGTAAGTGGCAAAAAGTACACGTTCGCGCAAGCCAAAGATGCGTCATATTATATCGGCAGGAGTTTACATAACATCGGTCTGAAAAAGGGCGATGTGGTAGCACTGGTGACACCCAATCTGCCAGACGCAGTTTTAAGTTTCCTCGGGATTTTGTCAGGTGGATTCATCTGCACTACCATGAATCCACAATATATAGCCGGTAAATTATATTATAATATCCACTTCAGGCACTTCGAGATATTTTCTGATATTTCGATGAAATATCAGCGCGCGTCAATCATTATCGATGGGAGTGTCCGATAGATAAGGCAAAAATAATTATTAATTAGGCGTATCATTGGGCTGTGTGCATGAATGTAAATGAAAAATGGATATTTTTAGATGAAATTTCGAGACAACTACAGAAATCCGGCGTAAAAGCGATTATTACTTCAACCGCGATTGCATCTACGGTGCGCACTGCGGCAAACACTTGTCTTCCACCTCAAACGCCTTTCATTGTGATCGACGATCAAGTGGGCTCAATGCCAGAGGGTTCTATACCATTCAATGTTAGTATTGAAACAAGATATTCGCCAATAAATAATAAATAATTAACCCCCCTACTCAGGGAAAAAAATTTCTTTGGATTTGATACGTGTTTCTTTGATTTGGATTTATATTAATTAATATAAACGATAAAATTTAATATCAAATATCATTTTGTTCAAATGAAAATATTGTTGTTTCATTAGAGTAAACTATGTTACTTGATAAAAAAAAAAAGTATTATTTTGAGGAAATAATATTCGGTTTTCAATAAAAAAAATTAATTTCATTACATATTAAAAAATATTGTCCTACTGAAACATAGAAGTTCTTTAATATTTTTGTAACATAGTGTTACTTCTTTCAAATAATTTATTGCTTGTGAAAACCATTGTAACGTTAGAATGAAAATATAAGCAAGAAATATGTTATTTGTGAGGTAACGATATTTATTGTTTGAAAAACTAAAGAATACTGTTGAATCAAACACTCGTTTATTTGCTCAATTCCAAAAGACAAAATTTGTTTCAATTAAAGAAATTTTATTAAATCCAAAGACATATTTTTCTCTGTATATTAAGGAAAATGACCAAGTAAAGTGTAATTGCCGAAATGTAACGTAACCTAAAGACCAAGTGATCAACTAATGATATATATTATACATAAGCAAAATTTTTCAGGATCTCATAACACGGGGCAAGTCATTGCCAAATATAAAATCGGACGCCTTAATGGACGATGTGGCAATTTTGCCATTTTCAAGTGGCACTACTGGATTGCCGAAAGGTGTCATGTTAACACATAGAAACTTGGTGTCTAATATGGATATGGTCGAAGAAGCTTTAAGAAAGGACAATTTATTCCATCCTACTACAGGTATTTTGATATCACCTAAAGTCATCAATATTTTCGTTTAATTTCTTATCATTTCATCTCTTGCTTTCTTATTTATTTTTTCAGACACATATCAAGAGGTGGTACCCGCGGTATTGCCGTTTTTCCATATTTACGGATTAAATGCCATGATGCTGCCGCGTCTTAGTAAAGGCAACAAACTAGTTACAATTCCAAAATTTGTACCGGACACGTATCTAAACATACTAGAAAAAAGCAAGGTAAATAAATTTTGCGTGCGAGTAACTTTGATTTTTAAATGTCGAGGAGCTACTAAAAGAGAGCACGAAAGCCATTTGGACAGAAATCAAATAAATGGATCCTAACGCATTTTCGCAGCGTCAAAATATTCACCGGACCAAAATGGATTAATGCGAAGTAGAAAAGAAAATAATTTTTAATTTCGTTTGTGATAAAAATCGTGATTTTTGGAACTTTGTTGAGACAACAAGCTGAGAAAGCTCTTTAACATGTCAAGTTCACGATAACGGTGCATATATTTTTCAGGCGACTCTGCTCTATTGCGTGCCACCGATAATACTGTTCTTGACGGCTTCCCCCCTCGCAAAGAAGCAACACTTGAAGTATATTCATAGTATTTTCAGCGGCGCCGCGCCGCTCGCCCAGTCGGACGTCGACAGATTTTACGAGAAGTTCAAGTTCAGTCCTGACAACTTGAAATTCGGTCAAGGTGAGTGATCCTGAAATCGACGCAAAATTCACAACGCAAGCTAGTAGCGAGACGTTTATCGAGTTTTGCAGATATCGAGTGTCGGAATTGCGTTTCGGCGTACGCAAGCTTTGCAGGCCTGGATATATTTTTTTTACCCAGCAGGGGTTGAAACGTCAGAGTGTCGATGAGGAGAGGGGGTAGGAGGTGAGGGCGAATTTTGCATTTGTGGGCTTCACGAGCGGACAGGGTGTACGTTCAATTTTTAACGAGGACCCACGAGTCGGTCGCGCTTCTGATATCAAACCCGGTGAATCGAGGACGGTGTCGTATTGAATTTTACTCGTATTTCAATTGATATTGCGTACTGATGTGCGCCTGAATTCGCACAAAATTTAGCGAATTCATAGCATTAATTCGGAAAAAAAAGTCGGTATTAAGCGTTAGGATCCATTTATTTGATTTCCGTTCAAATGGTTTTCGTGCGAACACGAACGCGCAATTTTTATTGAGTGAAATTGTTTCCATAGCAAAAATGACACGGTGCAAATTTTGACATTTTTGTCATATATGTAAAATATGAAATTGGATTCTCTTTGCCTTGTCGTTGAACTTTACCGTTATACTAATTCTTGCAATTATATCGACTATCCCGATTTTTATGAAATTCTAAGTATTTTATTGAATAATAAAAATGCTTATAAAACTCTCGCCCCACATAATTCTTCAAGGTTATGGATTAACGGAGTCTTCGCCAGTGGCTTTCACCGAAAGTACATCAAAGAAATTCTCGAGCATTGGAAGAAATGTGGCGAGTTGCGAAGCACGTATAGTTGATGTAACTACTAAACAGGATGTCAACGGTCCTGGTAAAACCGGCGAATTATGGATCAGAGGACCTCACATTATGAAAGGATATTTGAATGACGAAACTGCCACGAAGGAAACTTTAACTGAGGATAAATGGCTGAAGACTGGCGACATCGCTTACTACGACAAAGAATACGATTTTTATATTACGGACAGGTTGAAGGAGCTTATTAAAGTTAAGGGATTCCAGGTAAGAATTTGTTGAAACAAAAAGGTAAAAAGAAAAGTCAATGTGGTGTATAAGTGTTCAGTAATTGTTTTTTTCTTTGACATGAACGATCTATAAAACATTCTGACACTATTGTCAATACCATGTGAATTACACGAATTAATTGTTAATTCGTGTCGCGATAATTATTCCATATTTAGGACCGTTGATGAAAAATCATCTTATATTTTCACAACTAATAAAATTATTTAAAAACGTCTTTCATCATTCAGCATCTAGCGAAATTCTTCTTTACTTTCGATTGTTACATAGTCAAACATCGACGCGGTAGGGTCATTTTTTGTATTTTTCTACGGTTTGGTTATACACAACGCACTGCCGCGAGTTTCAAGTTTGGAAATTTCGTAGTTTCGACGACAACTTATTTCTTTCGTCGGCATTTAAAAGCCCATTCATCCCGTTTGCTCAATTTGAGAATATTTTCACTTGGTTCAAGGTACCACCGGCGGAACTGGAAGCGTTGCTGCGATCGCACCCGGACGTGGAGGAGGCGGCAGTGATTGGTATTCCGCACGAGAGATACGGCGAGGTACCGAAAGCGTTCGTAGTGCTGAACAAGGATAAGAAACCCACCGAGGACGACATTAAGAACTTCGTGAAAGGAAAGGTCTCCGACTACAAGGAACTCGAAGGTATAACTCGATTTTGCCAACTGCCACGGTGACGCGGAATTTCTAATTGTCTGGCGACATTTAATTACCAAACTGATAAGACCTTGCGGCCTCCAGAGCCGTGGTTGTTCGAATATCCGGATAAGCATCGCGAGTGTCGGGGGGGGGAAAGCATTAATTGCTACGTAAGTCGATCGAGTTAGATCTCTAAGGATTCAGGGGCTCAGAAAAACCAGGCAATTAGAAAGCTAGAACAAAGGACCGGAGGATCTTACGTACGTCTTTTTTTCTTTCAGGCGGAGTCATGTTCGTTACGGATATTCCGAAGAACCCGAGTGGGAAGATTTTACGATCGCATTTGAAGAGGGAATACGCGAAGTCTTAACGCTGCCTGAGTGGCATTTAACGAAATTTAATATATTTTAATGAACAGGACAAAAGGATAACTGGATGTATATCATGCAAACAAAGAAAAGTGTGAAAGATTAAAGTGATATTATTTTATATATCTTACATATTTCATACATATTTTATATGTATTTCATACATATTTTATATGAGCATTATAGTACAGGTACCTAATGTACAGGATGTCCGATAATTATCTCGAGATTCGTGGTGTGCAGGTAGAGTGGATTAAACTTAACGGGAAAATCATGTACCACTTTGCAAAAATCACAAATTTCTACCTGCGTACCACGTGGATCCTGAGATAATTATCGAACACTCTGTATATATAGAATATGTATATCTTGCATATATATAATATTTTGCCCAATGGAGCTGTAAATAACGCAAAGTGTATATAAAAATGAATATAAGATATATCATTTTAAAGACTTTCACAAGCTATTTCTTCGAAAACTATAGCAGAGGCAATGACAAATTTGGCTTGTGGTATTTTAAGATTCATTTTTAACTCTTACCTCGTCATTTTTTCATATCTTTATATAATTAAAAGAATTGAGGAAGAATATATTTTAATACCTTTATAAGAACATAGAATCATTACAAGACACAACCTATATGAAAGAATTATATACTTGTTAGAAAATTCCGGAGGAAACTTTATTAAGGATAAATATGTACGAACTAGAAGACGTCTTCTCCGGAAAAGAAGCAATTTTTACCTTTATATTTTTAAAAATAATGTTTAGTTCCAAAAATGTGTTTGAAATAGCTGGATTTATTGCTCAACCTTATGTAGGAAAAATATTACATTTTGATGGGACGATTATATTTTTCATATTTCTTTATTAGTTACAATTTTTAATTTAATAATCTTTGTTGTTATTATTATTATTATTATTGCGTCGGACGTACATATGTGTGTCGGCTCAGTCTTTTTAAAACTATTGTATCTTAATATATTTGCGACCAGCGTCACACATGTGTACACGATGCAAGGATCTCTCATAAAAGACTAACGTCACACATGTATGAAGAGAAATTTGTTATATCCATGTTATCGGCCTAAGTCTGTTATACAAAATTATATAAGAAAAAAAAATACATCTGTGGGGAGAGTTCTTCACATAAATTTTGTTATAAAATACATTAATTTTATATTTGGCATACACATGCTGCCGATCTTTTAAATAAAATGTTTAATATATCTATATAGATTGTTTTTTTATCCATTTATGTTATCGGAAACAAATAAAAATGTCACTTGCGGTGGTAAATATATTATTCGCGAGTGTTGAGCAAATTGTGAAGAGAAAACACGCATTAAATTATGCTTGATATGTAAATTCCAGGAGCCAATGATAGCTGAAAGTACAGCACGAGTTAAGAAGCGCCACTCTTGGCTCTCGTAATCACTCGGAGCTTACGAGGGGATGCAAAAGTTTCGTCGTTGTCGAAAAGGGAGAGAAGAAGGGTGCGAAGAAACTGCATTTTCCTTTCGGGATAAATGGAGGCGAGTAAGGCGCGCTCTTCCGCGATTCAGATGACTGGACCGGAAAAAATAGGACGCGAGGAAAACGCTTTTTTCTCGCGGCAAAGCGCAGCTTCCGCGGTTGAATCGGATGCTCGCGCATTCGGGATTTATGCACGGCGGTTGGTCGGGAGAGTCTCTCGCGATGAAGCTCGCAAATGGAGAAGGGCTGCGAGACTCTTGCATTGTTTCGTTCGCGCGGAGATGGGTTCACCGGGCGCGGGAAGATGCTGTTCCATCTTATAAAGACAGGCGGCCGAGTTCAGCGGCAGAGATGAGAAACAAGAACCGATACCTGTCTTGCGATTGAAGTTGCCGAGCCAATTTAGGATTCAGCGTGCGGGACAAACTCTGAATCGACAATTAATATTCGAGAATCCAGAATGAGAACTGACTCAGTCCAGAACTTGCAAGGCTTATTGAAATTTAAGGCCACATCTGAAGATGATCTTCATAAATTACGGATCTTCCTCATTCTAGCTCGAGACTCCCGATTAATATAACTTTCCTTTTCTATTTAATCGCATTCGCTATTTATCTGCCACATTGTGAATTGATTTCACAATTGGTAACTGTCCTACTTCACAGTCCAATCAGCAATTTCTTCTCTAAATTAATTAAAATCATCGTCAACTTTAATGACATCGTCTCGATGGCGCTTGTTATTGTGCCGTTCCGTACGGAATACGAGAATGAATAAGGTCGGGACGGAGAAAGCGTGAAAGAAATTCACCGCTGATACTGGCAAATTTTGAAGTGTGTCTCGCGCGTGCGCTGTATCATTATGACAGGAATAATGCGCCGGGCTAAAAAGGTGCGAATGCAGTTGCCTCCGCCGGTATAAAAGGCGAACCAACTTTTATCTCTTCCGAGTCGTTGCTCTGACAGCGAGACATCTCGAAGAAGAGGGGAAAAAAAGGGACGCGTCCTTGCCTTTTATTTCAACCGCTTTGTCCCACGGCGGAGAGCTTTTCGTAAATTAGCTTTTATAGACGACCTGATTCCTGGAATCGCGTATTATGCCCTCATCACACAAGGATTCTGACCTCTCGGCGCAGTTTCGCTCGATTTACCGCGTTTACGCCGGTTCGCCAGTAAAGCGTCCGATGCTGTTAAATAGTTTCTTTAACGAACTTAAAATTGTTAATGAACTTGTTGATAAAATTGTTTTTTCCCTTCGTCATATATGAATCGTCGCGCGTTTGACGCGATCTTTCGATGCTCAAGAATACGCAGCTTACGTTTCAGTCTCAAATAAAAATTCCATTAAAATGAAACTCAGGGAAAGATTCCTTTTTTCGGCAGTTACGTCCAGCAACCGCACGATTTTATTGGGCTGTTACGTGGGGTTGGATCGCTACTTCAACGATCCAAGCTCGAATATGGTAAAAGTGCCATAAACGCGGGGGATATTTAGTTTCCACAAACGGTCGGGCTTTTGATGCGAAATCGATGCTCCTGTTCCTTGTATTGTCTACGTTTTACGATTGCGCTTCTTCCTCTTTTTTTTCTTATTCATGGTCGCGTTATCTCGTCGTGAGATATTCCATCGGCGCGTTTATCGATTATGGTTCAGATACCGGCGAGATATTACTAAAGACCGACGCGGCATTACGGAAATTCGCACGACTGCCAATATTTGAACGGTCGGCACATACAAAGCCGTGTATTAATTTTACGGTTTATTAACAGCCGGACGTATCGTAAATACATAGGCATATCTGCGGCGCAGCGATATATTATATATTTCGATGAAACTCCATTGCTCGACACGGTCGTCTTCCGCGTGGACGGATATTTATATCGGACGGTCCAAACAGTCGATAATGTCGATGCTCTCCAATTATTCTTGAACTCGCCTTCATAGTCACGAAACTTTACTGCGAGTTACTTGAACAGTTTCTTTAATGATACCCTCGATGGTGAAGCGCGGTCATCTTCACGCCGGAGATAAATCGTTTTCGTAACTTGGATAGGAAAGAGAATCATGGACGATATAACGAATAATCGGGGATCATCCCGGCGATCGTGATAAAATAAGCGGCAATGTTAGCTGAAAAAAGTGGGAGGTGGAAATAGGAAAACGCTTTGTAGGCGTGGCTGCATTTTCGTGAATGCACCGGATGCAGTTCAATGCCGGTGAAATGGCGACCCCGGGCCGTGCGAGGTCGCAGCTTTGCTCTTTTTATGCATTTTATATAGAGGATTGCCGGGAATACGTGTGATGGTTTTGCCAACAGTGAATCATTTAACTTGCCGTTTCTAGTCGCACCGATGCTCGCAACGCGTATTTATTTACGCGCCGTGGTCTTTGACCGTCGCGATGTACCAATTAATGCAACAAAACAGAACGTTGTATGTATATTCACGATAATAATTACTAGCAGTCACGCGATTTTCAAACGTACGTGCGATTGTTACCACTCGCGTTTAATTATTTACTCGTTTTCGTGAATGATAAAAGTAAAATAAAAGATTAGTGTTGTTTTTATTTATCTTGCAGTGTTTCATCAGTTTTTATTTATGTTATTCTATTAAAAAGAATGTATCTCATATTACCTGCTGTAATGGTATTTTTATTACTTAAGAATATAATTAATCACTTTTTATTATAGTTTTAAAGGATTTTTGGGCTTCTTTTCGAGGGAAAATTGAAGAAAGCGATTTCCTTACAATTATATTTTTTATTGCTCTTATATTTAATATATACATCAATATATAGATAAATGGAAATTACGGACTATCAGCAAAGTGAATGTCAAAATAGGAAGCTTGCACGATAAGTATAAAAAGCGTATAGCAGAAGTACGGAGATAAACTGGCGAGACGGAGCGTAATTCGTAGGAATTAATTGCAATTTTTCGTAGGGTCTAACTAAGATCCCAAGATTACGTTAAAAGCTTTCAATCGGCGCGAACGTGTTCATCTGTTCGCGTCTCATTACACATTCCGAACGACCTAGTTTCGCCTATATTCGTTGCAATCGAGCTGCATGGCTACTCTCTCGAGTATCGTGCATCGCCTCTTCTTCTTCCCGAAATGAAGTTCCCGCTTCTAAATTTTCACAAACTTGCCTTCGCTTACGAAGTAGCTTCTCGCAATCTTCACTGTTCTCCAAAACTTCCCTATGCGAAACATTCGAGGCACATCGGCATTTCGCCGTTATTTATTCCTACGTGGACAATGGCAAAGCGGCGCGCGAAAGATTCTCCGCCGGAAAGATTCAAATCAATTCGATTTTCCGCATTTGAAAGTCGAATCTCCGCGAGAAGTCGTCCAAGTGTCGCGCGAGTTCTCGCGCTTAACTCCTTCGTGTTCGGTCGCACCTACAGTGTATCTCGTCGAAGTAGATGCCAGTCTCTCTCTCTCTCTCTCTCTCGCTCCTTCTCTCGATTTCGAGAATTGACGCGTCGTAGGATGGGAATAAAACTCCTTGGTAAATGAGCTTTTCGTCCTACCTCAGCCGGGCGAGAGTTGCGGCTACGTATGAGCCTGCCCAAACGCATTGCAAGAAGGAGATAAATCATAGACGTGCTTAATTCAGTCGTCGGTATATTAAGGGGGTCATCCCGTGTGACGACCGTTTTTTTAAGGCATTTTTTTGCGGCGAAATGAAAAAATACAGAGCTTCCAAATTTTTACTATATATTTATTACATCTTAAACTATATGTGTAAATTTTTTTATTTAAAAATATGGCGTCGATGGCGAGTTACATCACTGGAAAATATTGAACCGTTTTCTGTCCGCATAAAAAAATAGTCGCAAAAAATCATGCTATTTTGAGTTATAATTTTTAAAAGCATGTGAAAAATTGAATTTTTAATATTTTCAAAAAATCCTAGTTCCCACGATAGCCATTCACCTATAGATTAAAATGCAATTTGATTTTTTGATTTCCAATAAACCAGTCTGCCGGAATCGTGGGCACCGTTTTTTTTTACATGGGTGCCATTCCAGTGATGTAACTCGCCATCGACGCCATATTTTTAAATAAAAAAATTTACACATATAGTTTAAGATGTAATAAATATATAGTAAAAATTTGGAAGCTCTGTATTTTTTCATTTCGCCGCAAAAAAATGCCTTAAAAAAACGGTCGTCACACGGGATGACCCCCTTAATGTGAGAAGAAGAGGAACTTACGGAAGGAAATAGAAAGCAAGACAACAAGAAGCAAAATAAGTGAAAGAGAGAGAGAGAGAGAGAGAGAGAGGCGGAGAAAGGCGGCAAGGTACAGGCCAACAGGACCTGGAGGATAGAAAAAGCAAGCTCTGAAAGCTTTCAGAGCTCGCCTCCTGTTTCTCTCTCGTA